CTATTCTTTCCTTTATTTATTTGTTTTCTTTCTTTCTTTCTTTCTTTCTTGATTATCAGGTTATCCTTTATGTTTGCTTAACTTTCATTAGTTGTTAATGGATGCAGTTATATTGAATTTATTGACAGTATATTCTGTGTCATTTAGCAGGTTCATGTATAGTCCAGTGTATAAATTGTTTTCTTCTTAGTTTCATGAAACCCCATATTTCACCTCCTCTCATTTCATATATATCTATCGAGTTATAATTTCTACTGGGTTTTGTTTGTTTTGATGTTTTTGTGAAGTTTAAGGTGCCATTCATGGGTATTTTGTTTCATGAAATTAACTGTTCTGTTTTCATATCCCTATTATATAAAAAATGGGTATAGGCTGATATGTTGCATTTACTTTCCTAAAATTTGAATCGGAGAAAGAAATAGAAATTTTGTAGTAGAGAATAAACAGAAGATATTTGTAGTTTCAATTATATTTTTAGCAATAAAATTTGATGTTATCTGCCACTTTAACAACAAATTTAGTACATCACTAAATTTGTCTTTCTTGGGTTAATAAAAATCCCGGTGGTATAATTCCAAAGGGAATGGTTACCTTATGCATATGATTTTTTGCTTCTTTTTTTTCTATAATTTTAAAAAAAATAAAATAAAAATTCTATTAGTAGCCATGCATATGTAAAGGCTATTGGCGCTGCTCAGCATTTCATCTATATTGAAAATCAATATATCATAGGGTCTTCATACAATTGGAGCTCCCATAAAGACATAGGTAACGAACTATTCCCTCACATGCAAAAATCATGGTGTTTATATTTCTTTTTCTAAAAGCACAAATGATAGAATCTTCTATAGACCGAAGACTACCCAACCAAAACTTAAAAAAGTTTTATCTGGCATTTTTGTTTATGTTATGCAATATTAGATATTATGGTGTGAAAAAATTGATGCAATTTAAGAATACCTGATGGACTTGAGCATGGTTAATGATTATCTCAAAACTAGATAGTTGAAGTCATTTTTGGCATGAAATTTGGTTTGCAGAAGTGGCTTACAGACTCCACTAAGTATATATACACTCCTATATGACGATTTCATTGCGTAATTGAATCTCAATCTCTCTTTCTCTCCGAAGAAATATGGAACAAGAAACTACAATGGAGGAGGCATTGCTCTTAGGTAAAATTCTAGTTTCATAGGCTTTCAATATTGGTTTTCCCCAATGTTTTGATTTCTAAATTTGGGTTCTGATTGACAGAGAAGAGCGATTTAGTAGAAGAAAAACAAAGCTTCGAAAGATGGAGTTCGTATCAGTACGTGGAAACGGCTGGTTCTATAATTCCAACAGCTTCCTTGGCTGGAACTGAAGTCAGCGTCAACGAAATTCGATTTGCTACTGCTTCTTCTGATCGATATTACCCTCATTCTCTTCACGCCCCTTTGATTAGCTCACCTGAACCAGATCCTAATGGTAATCCAATTCAATAATATCCCCAATTGATTCACTCACTCACAGACACACACACAAACAGTTTTAGTTCAGAATTTGTGAATTTTGTTGCTGCATACTAGGAAAGTTATGTTTCGTTGGATTCACGCATATATATGCATATGAACAATCACAGAAACAGTACAGTTTAATGTTACATTGAAATCTCAGCAACCCAACTTTTAACAATTGGTTACTACAATACCCAGAAGAAAGTTTTGATATTTTTTGCTTTTAAATATTTTGGGTGGTGTTTTGTGGTTCAGAATTTGTGAATTTTGTTGCTGCATACTAGGAAAGTTATGTTTCGTTGGATTCACGCATATATATGCATATGAACAATCACAGAAACAGTACAGTTTAATGTTACATTGAAATCTCAGCAACCCAACTTTTAACAATTGGTTACTACAATACCCAGAAGAAAGTTTTGATATTTTTTGCTTTTAAATATTTTGGGTGGTGTTTTGTGGTTCAGAATTTGTGAATTTTGTTGCTGCATACTAGGAAAGTTATGTTTCGTTATTGCCAGAGATATGATATTTACTGTTAGCTTTGGCCTCCCTGAATTTGCATTTTCTTAGCCTAGCAAAAGAAAAGAAAAGAAAAGAAAAGAAAAGAAAAAGCAGGGGGATTAGAAAGGAATTTTGCAACTCACATGTGAGTTAAATCTCTCAATAATGTAGCATCACTCTGCTAAATTTTAATCCAAATCAAGAAAAAACTAAAGAAAACAAATTGGCAGCAATCTACAAATCTGACTTATTAGAGGTGTTTTAAATTATTTGTTTTCTTGAGCTACATTCACCAAGGATTAGTGAAACAATGGAGTCACGAATGAAGTGTTTAGGCATATAGACAATTACTTGAAGTGATTATGGGCACTGTATAGTCGATTAGGCTACTGGGTTTTATTTACATGGACTATTCAATTTGAATTAATTAGATTCACTGCTTAATTTAAAAAGGCCAGCTTTATATAGTTTCAATACATGTTTCTGTTTAGAACACATTATGATGTACTGAACGCTAATATGGCAACATAGCTTCATCAATTGCTTCCCTGCAAGTACTAGACTATAGCATATTATTTTGGATGCTAAACTATGAGCCAATTTTTGCAGAGCAAGCTCTCATTTATCAACGTGGATATGGAGGAGATTATGGTGGAATGTCTAATGAATTTCAAAGGTGAGGTTCAATAATGACTTACAGAATATTGATTTTCTAAGGACCTATTCAATAATTAATTGGGGTGATAACTTCATATTTTTTTAATAATTGTGGGTTCAATTGCCCTTGCATTGGGGCTTTACTGTTTTAGCTAAGAATGAAAGAAAAAAGGCTGATTGCGATGCCGTAGGAGGAGGATATGTTACTATGCTTCTTTTTTTTCAACACTATTTATTGAGTGTTAACATACATTATTGGGCTCATCTATTGACAATTTAAGCTTTTGGGATAACTGGTGTTCTATCTGTTAATGAATGAGAGTATGGTCACATGTGAATGGGAGTGTTAAGGATACATATAATCAAGTTACCCATACATCTTGATGAAGTTACTCCTTTCTCTAATAGCATAAGCTTTCAATGTGATGGTAGTGAAACTTGCTTGGTTGTAGCAAACAAGGAGACTGGTTGAGGATTTTTTCTGTGTCTGTACTTACGGTAGACGGTTTAATAAGATTAGGTAGTTCTTTTGATTTGCTACATCGTGTTTTAGTTGAGAGTGAAGTGGCCTTTGATATGACAATAAACAAATGCTTTCCTAAGCTTTTATGCCTGAAATTCCTTTACTGAATACTTATTGTGAGCATATTTTCTTGCTGTAGATGCGAACAATTTGATTCCCATGGAAATTGCACTTAAAATTGCTGAGAAAATCAGAGCACGTGAGAGGTTTGCTGCTTATATTGTTATTCCGATGTGGCCAAAAGGCAATCCAACAGGTGCTGCTACACAAAGGATTTTATTTTGGCAAGTAGGAACCAATTATGACTTCAATGCATAGCATTGTGCTTCTGCATTTTAAAGGCAGCTTCAGAGATGGATAACTTTGTTGCCTTTTTTTTCATTAGATTAATATGGGAAATCAAAAAATTCTATTAATCTGCCCATCAGTGTATATACTTCAGAAGGATCAATTTTTGATTTTGAAATTATCTCTCATTTATTGTACAGAACAAAACAATGCAAATGATGTATGAGACCATTTACAAGGCTTTAGTGAAGGTTGGCCTTCAGAATGAATACACCCCCACATGACTATTTGAACTTACGTTCATATTTGGAAAGCACCGGTGTGCATTTTGTTGTTTGTTGTTTGGTCTTAAATTACAGATGATTGGTTGGTGTGCATTGTTTGTTGTTTTGTTTTAATTAAATTATTTTAGAATCGCAGAGCACTGGCATGCATTGTTTGGCATCCAATTTTAATTTTGTAGAATTGTAGAATATTAGCTGGTGTGCATTGTTTGGTTAATTTTATTTTATTATAATTGCAGATCATTAGTTTACCATTTTAATTTTAATGAACATTATAAATTTTATATGTTTATTCCTTAATTTGCATTAAGACTAGGGAGAGTTGTTATTTTTAATTGAATTCTGTAAAGGGTATGGTACAAGCAAAATTATTAAAAGTTCTTTAAGAAGAAAAAATGTTACAGCCTTCACATGTTTTAACATGATACGTATATAAATTATAAATATATTTCGATCTTAATATTATTTACACCGTGCTTTTAGGCACGAGCATACACTAGTATATATATAAGCCACAATTCAGGAAAAATCACCAATCTTTCTCACTGTGATATGAAAAAAAAAAAAAAAATGATCTAGACTAGATCTGAATCAAAATACAACTCAGACCCATTGACATCCCTATTGCCGCTACCCAATTGCACTATTGTTGCTGCTGCCGTCTTCAATTATCGGCGAAAGTAAGAGTTGAAGAAGAAAAATACCCACAATAGTAAGAGAGGAGTAAGAAAAGAGTGAACCATTGTAAATGTTGAAAAACAAAAAATCTATGCAAGAAATAGAAGGAGAAGCTCTCGACCCCTTTTTCCCAAGCATAAAAAATCCAGATCTAAACTACATAAATGTTTTCAGAGTTCGCTGAAAATCGCCTAGAGATAAAGCTCTCTCCAGCGGCCCATGAGTTTTGTGCATCATATTTTTTGGCCAAATTGATTGACGGTGCTCTAAAGGGTCGTTTTAGCATTGATATTTTTAATATTTGTTTAACTTCTAACCAAAAAAAAAATGTATAAAAAAATAAAGTGAATTATTTAATAATGTAGAGTGACTTTTTTATTTAAAACATTTCTTCCTAAACACCCCCTCTCCTTCATTACCAGTCAGATACGAAATTAGAAATTTTATATTTGGAGACTATCATGACAATTATTAATACTAGATAAAATACAATTATTTTTATTTTTATTTTTATCTAAGATTCAAAAGAATTTTTGCATTATAAATAAGACAGAACTAAACTATCATTAAAAACAAAAAAAATCGTTACAAGCACAAGCATTTGAGAGCACCCTTTATTCATAAAATAAAAAATAATAATAAAAAAAAATTAACCATCAAGGCGAATAGAGAGAAAGATGAGACTATTCTGCCATGGCTACCCTTGAGTGACTTCAATAACTATGCAATAACAGAGCTACATTATCAACTCTTTTAAAAAAATTGCATGAAGGAATGCCAGTTCATAGATCTTGAAAAGCAAAAGAGGATTAGCCACCAGTCAATTTGTCTCTCTTGTTGTCAATTTATCAGTTCGAATAACTCCACCAAGAGAAAATCAGCTACCGGTTCCTACAAAACTAAACTAGACTAAACTACACCCAGTTTCGTCCCCATTTTATGGGGCTCTGAAAGGGATAGATTGGGTACAAACTCGAGATCAACATTGCGTGTCCAATTTTTGCCTCAAGTATTAACTATTCACGGTTTTCCTAAACTTGTGTGCATAAAATGAGATTAGTTCTATCCCAACAACTGCTCATCTTTCTTCAAAAACTTCACACCCCCAATCATCCTCCTCCAAAACCCGATTGCCTCTGTTTGCCGTTGTTCCTCTATAGGTTCTTTAAATTTCGCATTCTCACTTAATTCTTCAAATGCATCAACAAGATTTTGAAGCCGTGCAACGAATTCAATCAGAAGCGAAGTAAATGTCGCCAAAGACAATGAACTGGCATTTTCATACGTCTTTGATTCTTCTTCTTCAGGCAGCGCATCAGCTTTCCACGACAAGTTTGCAGGCCATTTTTCAGGAGGGATGAAGTTGATACCCATACCATTGTTACTAACATTCCAACTATTCGACGCGGGAAGTGAACTGAGATGGAGCAGAGCTTCGCTATAAAACTTGCATTTACCTAATTTGTTTTCTTCATCATCCATGCTGAGAAATTCTTGGGGAGGTTCTAGCTCTTTTGACCGACTTCCGATTTCCCAGCTCTCTGCATGAACAAGAAGGTACGATTTCTGATCTACCTTTTTTTGCAACTCTTCTGCTGCCTCATGCACTTCGAATAGTATGTCTATTGCACCCAATTTCTCCATCTTTTTAACTTTGTACCCAAGGTCACGTAACACTTTCGTACATGCAGTGCCAACCCTTCGAAGTTCATTACTAAAGACTTGTCTTTTTTCAGGTGGAGCCTACATATACAAGCAATGAAACCATTATTTTCTTTGCACATGGTTCTAGTAGGAGAAAATCACGAGCAAGGCATAACATATAAATTATAATATATCTTCTTTTTCTTTTACCGAAGTGTGCTAAATAAGGGTTCATTTGTTTCAGCGAATATTTTCTAGAAAATACTGATGTGCACTTTGATATATTGAAAACTACACTTTACCTAAAAAAATGTCTTTCAATGCTTACAAGTGCAAAGATCTAAATTAACAAATATACTAATATAGTAATCAAGTAATTTTCAGACTATGTAAGGCATTCTTAAGGCATATTGAGTGAAACTCATTTAAATCCATTTCTACACAAAACAGCTGTAAAATGAAGCCAGAGATAGAAAAAGAATAACACCTGTATTTCGGAGAGTATACAACCATGCAATGCCATGACCATGAATGCACAATGCCTCAACGCACCACTCACTTTTACATAGTTTCTCCATGGATATCTAAGCATTTTGTAGGGACCATGAGGTGGCTCCCAAATAGCAAATCCTAGCTGCCAAGCCGAAAATGAGTTAAAATCAAAAAGTTGATTCATAATTTGCAATTACCTATACTTGCAAGACATTCACTTAAAAGAATACCAGAGCATCCTCTTGGCTTGTAGATTCCACGGCCGTTCTATAGCCACTGTATATTGGGTCATCAGAAGCTTGGTAAGTAAGAATTTTTGAAGGAACCTTCACATATTCAACACAATTCAAGTACCGATCAACACAAGCTGCCGAGAAGTCAAAGAGGATTAGTCAGCATGGAAAACAGAATAAGAAGACTAAATCAGAATTTTACAAGGTGTTTCTGAAAAATAAAGTAATAATAGTATAGTATACGGAAACGTTAGTCAACCTTCCACGGAAGTTGCAACACCCATGAAATTTTTTACCACCAATCTGTGCAGATCCTCACCAGCCCAGATGGGGTAGATACATATATTCACGACCAAACACACAGCAGCACCAAGTAAAATGAGCAAAAATCGAGTCACAGCTGTATGTATAAATTCTCTTGTTCGATACCCAGATACCATTATGAAACAATATGTTATCAAGAATACTCGAAATCCATATTCATACGGCTTCCATGTGGGGTAAAGTTTTGCATAAGTAGTGAAAAAACCTAGAAACCACATAAAAAACACAGTGAGCAAAACTTCAATTGAAATACACGCTGAAAACTGCTAGTTCATTTCCAACATAATCAGAAAAAGAATACTGGCTGAAAAACCAGACCAATGATAAATATGCTGAAGACAATAACAGCTTCTTCCCAATCTCCAGCCAATTCAGACAACTCTGCCATACCGAGAGCAAGCCCTCCAGCTGATAATGTCCCCAATCCACGGTTAAATCCTTTGCTAAATGTTGCACCTGCACAAGCACTTAGATCATCAGCTGCTTCATCTGTGCGTTTGTTTCTTAAAAAGTTAGAACTTACAAGACAAAGGATTATACTATTGTTGGAAAACTAAGAAAAAGATGCACATAAAACTTCAAAATGTATGCTATTTTTGCTTAGGAAAATGAAAACACACTTCCGCTAATAGAAAAGCTGCATTGGATCCAGTGAAGGAAATTTTTTATATTCATATCCTGCATAATGTGAATTTTAGGATTCAAATTCAATTCTATTTCTCTTAGCCATACATTCCCAAGTCACTTGAATTGATGAACAAGTACTCGAATGGTTCACCAAATATTAAATGTCAACTTTACTTTTGCCAAATATTATGTGCATGCCAGCACTGCACACTAGGTCTTAATTTAAATACATCAGTTCTCACAATTTTGGGACTATAGCGCATTTCAATGCTTTTTAAAGTTTCATTTAAAGATTTTTACGTTCTGATACCAATCCTTTCTTTTCTTGCAAGATGTTCAATATCTATCACTAATATGTATACTTTATGCCACAATTGAGGAGATATATTAAGAAAAGAAATTCAATGAATACCCAACAAAGCATATCAGTATAAAAATCAGGGAAAAAAGTGCACTAAAGCTGTGTCTGGCAGCATGGAATCCAAAGCTTGGATTTAGAAATAGAAGTAGTTAAAAGTTTGACCTAAGATGGTGTCTTATCTCAATTTCCAAAGTATGATTCTATGGTGCAAAACAGATGGTAGACAACTTTAGGAAACTCGTGTTAATGCTGCCTACAATAGGTATTATTGTGGTGGATTTTTGTTATACACAGCTTTTAGGGTTGGAGTTTAACAAGGGAGAAGAAAGTTTATAGGGTTTCTAAATGTAAAGGGTTAGTTTGGGCTTGATATTCAAAATTTGCGGGTTGCAAAGGCAACAACTGTTTTATGGTGTTTTTAGTGTTGATTTAGTAGCCAAAAGGGTAAAAGAGAATAATGGTGGTGTTTGTTTGGGCTTTTTTGAGCCAACTTATGGCTTCTGGCTTTTCAAAAGCTATTTTAGACTGTTTGGTTAAACTTATTTCAAACAGTTTCTGATTCTAACAACTTATTTTAAGTCAAAAAAGCTGATGCTCACCCCTTACTTCTGATTATCAGCTTCTGCTGTAGACATGTTAATTTACGGTTATACTCTTAAATTTTTTATTTTTTTAAAAATAGAAAAAGACCCAAATGGACTATAGAATATTATTATTATTTTTTATGAGAAATATAAACAAGTAGTGAATAATAAAAAATAAAAATTAATTGAAAAAACTACTTCACAGCTTATTTAACAAACACTACTCAGCAACTTAAATCTATAATCCAACAGTTACACCAAACTGATGAACAGCTTCTGATTAAAGTCATAATTTATAATCTTTTAAGCTATAATTTATAATCTATTTTAACAGCAACACCAAACGGGGCCAATATGTGGAAGATTTGAACTTGATTGGCTAGAGTTTATGGGCTGAAAATGGCACTTTTTGAGAGCAAATGAACAGTACTTGGGTAATTTGTGCAAATAAAAAGATCGATAAAAAGACAACCAAGAGCTTACCCCTCTACGGGTTAAGTAAATCACACACAAAATAAGATCCCAATTCCTTATAATATTACTGAGATTACACGTATACGGACTAGAGAATTCTCTAATTCTCTAATTTTTATAAGGACTAGAACTCCGACTTAAAAATTAAGAAATATTTGGTAAGTCCAAATCTTCTTAATCAACTAGGACGACGACCTATAGATTATGACTACTACCTATATCCAACAATGATTAAAGTTACCAAACTACTCTCAACTACTAGAACATAAAATATTAAGTTTATAAAATTTGTTCTAGTTTAGAACAAATGTAAATAATTAACCTAAACACTACCGTGGCACTTCTTTTCGACCCAAAAAAGGTCTTCTTAATGATCATGGGACCAATGACTTTTACTTGAAGCTTCCAAAGCCAATTATACTAATCTATTCTTATCATCAAGACATCCAAATTCCAATAGAGGTGACATCAAAAACACACTCTCACACTGTTGGAATCGTAGGAAAAAAGGAACATCATAACAAAAGAAAATGAGGTAAAAGAAGCAAAATTTGTTGCCTCTTTGTTTTTCTTATATTTATTTATTCTATTATATAGAGTTAGTGTGAACGCTACCACATTCTTTCATTTTTCAAAAATGCCCTTCAAACTAACAACTGTTGAATCCAATAACTACTAAATAATTTTTTTATTCATTCAACAAATTGCCCAAATCAAGAATCACCAAATCTAACACTATGATTATCATTTATTTATTTTTTCTAAAACCCACTATACAAACAGAGTGAAAATGCATTATATGAATTTCAAGCAGCCAAACACAGCATTCCAATCGAAAAAATAACCATACCTATGCTGAATTCAAACACTACAACAACAGTGAGGATAGCCCAAACAGAGTATCTACTGAGTTCTTTGATTGGTTGTTCTTTCATGAAAATCAACAGAGATACGAGCATCAAAGCCAGACCCATTTTAGCCGAAAACACGATCTTTCGTGGGTCGGATCGACCCACATCCCATGCTTTCACAGAAACCTCTTTCAATTTCTTCCACCACTCTGCAAATTTCTTCCGAACCCTCCTCCAACTCGAACAAAACCAAGAACTCTCATCATCATCTTCTTGTTCGTTGCCATCTAGCTCAGAGTACCATCCCTTGGATAACAATCTCTCTCTCTCTCTCTTCTCCGCAAAACTCTTCCTGAACGAACCCAATTTGTACGCCATCTTTCTCTCTTCTCTCTCCATACCAAGTAACGATGATCAAGATTCAAGAGAGAGATGGAAAAACTTGTGTGTAATTTTTGTGTGGAGACAAGAGAGAGAATGTTGATTGTGTAATCAATGATGAAAAGATTGGATTTGCGTGATTTCAAAGACGATTTGTTACAAGGGTTGAATGGCAGATATGCCTATTGCAAAAGTAAAATCACAATGGTAGGAGATATGGTTGGTTTGTTTTTCAGAAAAATCACAATGGTATCAAATAAATTTTTTTAAAAAAAATATCAAAATTTTGTTTTATTACTTATTTTTTAAAGTAGTTCTCTTTCTCATACACATTAAATCAATTATTTTTTTAAAAATTTTCTCTCTAAAATAATTTTTTAAAATTATTTATAAAAAAAGATAAACCAAATAAGTTTCGTATTTTTTATCTCAAAAACTACTCTACAAACACAAACCAAACACAACCATCATATGGCATGTATTTTACTCGCATATAATTTTTTTTTTTTTTTGTAAATAAGAGCGATTTTGGAAGTTGGTCAAGAGTTTTTTTTTTAATTTTTCAATTTTTTTTTTTGTGAAAAATATGAGAGATAGTGTGATTTAAAATAAATTAAAAGTTAAAATTTAATTTTTAACTAACTTTTCAAATTACCCAATTATATATGGTGATACGAGTTTGTGTACATATATATGACACGTAATTTCTTTTTTGGAAAATATTATCGATTTCAAATAATTTACTGGATGTTTTAATAATGCTCTCATATAGGTATGAAATCAACACACATGTAGATTTGTGTGAGATTTCTAGCATAATTTTTTTTTTCTTTTTTTTTTTTTTTGAAAAGATTATGTACACACTTTCAAAATAGGAATACTTACATGTAGGTCTTTATAAGTGGACTTATTGTCTAATAAGTCTTATGGAAAAAAATTGTCATAAAAAAGTGACTAATTGTAAGTTTTAGAGACAATATATAAAAATCATAACAAAAAAAAGTAATTTATTGTCAATTTTACCGACATATATAAAAAATTGTTACAAAAAAATTATTTTTAGCTACACTTTACCCAGACTTATTTTCAATAGGACTTGATGGGAATTAAGTCTAACTATTGGAACCTATTAATAGTTTACTCTTCAAAATATTGGCTATATTTGGGATACAACTTCAGGCTAAGATAGTCATATAGGATAAAATTAGTTATTTTAGTTAAATATGATAAAATGTTACACTCAATCGATAATCATTTTATTTTTTCTCTTACAAAAGTTAAAAAATCTAAAAATCTATTCAAAATGAAACTTTTTAGTCCCAAACTAAAATAATCAAAAAGTCAACTCACATCCCAAACAAATGCATTATAGAAATGTGTACGATATACATCTTATAATTATAGAAAAAATAAAATAATTTCATATTTTGTAAGTTATAATTGAAAAAATAATAATAATCAAGCATAAATGAATCATAACAAAAGATTTTAAAATAATTAGTCATAATTATAAATAATAAAAAAAAGGTAATTAAAAGTTTATCCATTTTATTTTAGAGATTAATATGTGATATGCATTTGAAAAATGGTTGAGAGTACTAAAATAGAAGTACTAGAGGAGCACTAATGATATGACACTATTTTTATTTTTTATTTTTGTTAATATTTTCAATGTATTAATACTATTAGTGGTGCTTTTTTAGTGATATGAATTATTATTGTATGTATTTAGGTGTCTGTTTATAGGAAGACAAGACATAACGGAACTGGATCCAAGTCCGAAGGAGACGATATTTCTATATTATACTATTTTGGATGGCCCCATTTCTTCTGCAATACAAGTTTATTTTTACAGTAATACCACGGAGTCATACACGAAAACTTAGAAATTATTTAAAATTTTATATTAATAACTTAGATTTATTTTATAGGTAGATTTTATATTTTGTCAATTTAATTTTCATTATACATATTCATTTTTAGGTAAATTTATCCTAACTTTTTTCTTATCTTTTGACCAGTGGACCAGATTTAGGTCCATTTGAAAATAAGTTATTTTTTATTTTCTTATAAAAAGACACGCAGAAAAGATAATGACGTGATAATTTATAGTGATTTTTTAATATTTTGATTAAAAATTAAAATTTTCAAACCAATTTGCTAATTTGGTGATTTTTATTTTTTTTTTTTGTATATTTGTGTCTTTAGTGAATTTTTTTCTTAAAAAAAATGAAAAAAAATTATATTCCTAAATACAGCTCGATGAGACAAATTGAAAATTTATTTTCTTATCAAAAAATTTTAAAAAAGTTTAGAAAAAATAAAAATAAACCAAAAATAGTACATTTTTGGGGGCTTATTTTGACTTTTCCAATTTTTTTATTGAAATTTCAATTTTATTTTATTTTTTAAATTCATTGACAAAAGACAGATCGAAAAAGTAAACAAATTTAACATAATTTAAAAGGAAAAAAAAGTCACTAACAACAAAACAACCGAAAAACAGGCGGCTTTTTATTTAGCCAATAATCTAAAATCCTCAACACCCCCTTAATACTCAACAAGTCACAAATTAACAATTCGCAACTCCCATTGATTCTCACAGCAAACTTATGACTTTTTCAACGATTCTCAACACTAAAAGCATAATTTTCAAGACTAATATACCCAAAAAAAAAAAAAAAACCCAAAAAACCCTCACTGCAAAACTATTAGGTAATAATTTTAATCAATAGAACCAGTTGGTAATTTTACCTTTATTTTTTGAGACTAATAAGGCTTTTATGGTTTGGTTAGGATAGTCCAATTTGGCCAATTTGCCTTGTTTCTCTTATTTTTTAAGCTATGGAATTGTTTCGTTTTGAATTATAAAAAAAGATTTTTGAATTTTTGAATTTTCGTGTTCTATTATTTTTAGTGAGTTTTTTTTATTCTAATTATTTTTTTAATGTACGTAAAAAGTAAAATATTTATAAATATATTTTTTTAAAATAATAAATACAAAAATATAATGAATTAATACATATATATATATATATATATATTTTTTTAAAATTTAGTGAATTTTGAAATTTTTTTTTTGCTAAATTTTGTATTTTTAAATATGTGAGAATCTAAAAAGTAAAAAAAAAATTTAATTAAAATATTAAAACAACTAAAAACTAAAAATACGAATTAAAAATTAAAAACTGTTTTCGAAAACTCTTAACCAAAAAAACCACTACGGGTTTATTTTTATTTTATTTCAGTTTTGGGTAGAACGTGGGTGGACATGGGATGGGTTAGGGTTTGTGTGTTTGAGATGATTTGTAAATATTTTATAGTTGAATAGTTGGTTTTGAAAAAAAAGTGATTGATTGATATGTAAGATGTGATATTTTATCTTATTAATTATTTTATATTTTTTTATTCAATTACAAAATGAAAAAATCAAAATCTAAAATACAACTTTTTTTCATTGGCTGAAATAGTAAAAAAATCCAAAAAATTAATTAAAATAACTAATGCATAATTATTTCTCATAAAAAAATAAAGTTGAACATTGTAAAACATATCTATAAAAATGTATGTTTATAAAAATATATTATACAATATAGTTTGTGGTGGGTGGATGGGCGGGCGGGCGGGCGGCTACCACGGGCTAGACTTTTAGGTGTTATTTGGTAAATTTAGCTTTTTTGGTTTTTTAAATTTTTTTAGCTTGGGACTTTTTTATTTGTTTAGTTTTTTATTTGGCTTTTTTGATTTTTTGCATTAGAATGGCAAAATTGTCCTCCACTTGGAAATGATGCTTTTTTTGACTTTTTGTTGTATATGAGTCAATTTAGTAATTTTATATCAAAAGTCAAGTGCTGTCATTTGTGGTTTTGTAGCTTTTTTTTGTCCACATGTGCTTATTTAGTCCAAACTCAAAAAACCAAACCGGGGCTTAGCACTCTTCGAAGCCTGGCCCATATTATAAGGAAAAAGGTTGAGACCTTTTTTTTCTTGAGCTCATCACCCCAATTATTGGGCTTGGTTAATTTTTTACTTTTTGTTTTTTGTTTTTTGTTTTTTTTCCCTCCTATCACTCACTGACATGTGTCTATGAAGATTGTGGGGGTCAAAAAAAAAATAGAGTCTCTATCATTTCTGATATTATAATTAGGCCTAAAGAAATTGCTAGACTTGGCTTATAAGCCTAAATTATAATCCCACTCCTATAAATTAGCGAACCATTGGGCCCATGCTCACCCTATTTGTGACAAACTATTTGGTGCAGTTTTGTATTAGACAAAAATAATTTAAATAAGTTAAAATTCATTATTTATATAGAAAGTTAAAGGAATAATATTTTTTGACTTCTACTTTCTTGTTATCAGTTTTTAGTTTCTATTATAAATTGCACCAAACAAGACCTTTGTACAATATTTTTTTAAAAAAAAAATCATATTGTTTCAATAAACTCAAATGTATGATTTTATTATGTTAGTGCTCAAAAAATGAGATTGGCTATTTTCAATATTGATAGGCAAAATATAAACGGGTCAGATTCAAGCTTGGGCCGGCCCAATCCTTTAAACCCAAGTTCAAGTGGGTCAGATAAGTGTGAGGGAAGACCAAATCAATCCCAACTCCATGATCAACAGTCCACCCCAAGTCCTTAAGCACTTGGGCCCAACTTGTAGAGGAAAGGTTAGTCCAGCCGTGATGCTAGGTTGGGCTGAGTTGCAATTGGACCAACTGATGGGCCGAACCTATCACCAAAAAACCAAAGTGGGCCAAGCCCACACAAAAATATTAAATGGGCTAGCCCATCTCTATAAGCAGTCTCACAAAGCGTGAGCCGAGACACAACAGTACCGAGCTTTAGGAAACCTTGCAGAAAAACGTGGAAGTTATGAATGTATGCATGTGCAGGCTGCCACCTCAACTGGTCCTCTCCCCCTAGAGTCACAGAAATGGTTTGATCAAGGAAATATGTTCTATTATCAGCATGAATACAATGAGTATATACATTCATTGTCCAACTACCTCATGGTCCTTGTGGACTTGCCTTTTTTTCGCGCCCCCCTTTCGGAAAAGGTTTGAAAAAAAGGCCTCACAGTTCGGACTCCCGCGGTTCTGAATCTAGTCTCACAAGTGCAATGTGAAACTGATAATCATCAAAGAGTCCAAATCCGGCAAACCTTTTGGAAAATCGATTTTAAATCAAATAATGCCAAAATTGGATGCTTTGCCAGATGCAGAG